CCCTTCCATGATCCGGGATGGGATGCGGCGAACAGAAGCATTTGAGGCTAGGCACGCAGCAGAGCACACGGTAGGGCACCGTACACTCTAAATGTTTGTATGTTTTTGTGCAAATGTTCGCACTAAGTTAAACCTACGTTTCGTTTCGCACAAATTTGTACGACAAGGTGCATGATTTCCTACAAATGAATGCACAAAAGTGTTCAAACCAACGCAGAAATTTGTGCAAAAATGAGATTGCTCAAGTTCCTACAAATAAAAGACACAAATCCAGTCCAGACACGTGACAGGGCATCCTATGGGAAGGTCTACGTCGGCGTAATTCCCCATCGGGCACCGGGCCGGGCAGGTCACTCCATGGGAAGGCCTACGGCGACGTAATTTTCTATGGGGGTACGCGGCAGGGCACCCCATAGGGAGGTCTACATGGACGTAATTTCCGATGGGGCACGCGGCAGGGCACGGCCGCCGGTAAGTGCATTGCTCCCCCGTGACGTCAGAGGCGGCCACACGAGCCAATGGTGGGGCGGGCTGCTCGGGTCCAACGCCCTATGTATGTGAGCGTCCATGACCGGGAGGACCCCGAGTGCCGTGTCCTGATCACTTTCTCTTTCGCCCTGCCGCCGGCCGTGGGCGGCGCGGGCGACGTTTCGGTTGCTCGGTTCCGTTTTGGCGCCATCCCCAGCCATCCACCCCCTTAAGAAACTATATGGGTCTGTAAAGCGGAGAAGGGAATAAGTTGGCTTATTGCCAAAACTGAGATTTGAAGTGGCCCTTGATTTCCAGCACACATAAATAAGACACGTTTCCGAGAGATAAAATGTTTTCTCAGTTGCCATAGTTCCTGGGTTTTATGACCGAATGAAAAATGAGTCAAGTTGACATATCCCCCTTTTGTCTCTTTTTATTATTTAAATAAGGTGACTAGAATAGACTAGAATAGAGTTCTTCAAAAACACAACGGCAAAGAGATGCGTCAAAACAACCAACAGCCGCACCGTCAGGCAGGGGTAAGCGATCCCTGCTAAGTGCAGCCCATTCAAGCTCTCAGGGCGCCTGTCAGGTAGGCAACATCTTGTCTGCAGCGCACGCGTGTAGTGCGGAGTGGCCTACCCAGAGGCTCGAAGGGGCCCGAGCTCCTCGCGATTCACCAAAAACACAAAGGCAAAGAGATACACCAAAACAACCAACAGCCGCACCGTCAGGCAGGGGTAAGCGAAGCCTGCTAAATGCAGCCGTAGCCCATTCAAGCTCTCAGAGCGCCTGTCGGGTAGGCAACATCTTGTCTGCAGCGCGCGCGTGTACTGCGGAGTTGCCTACCCAGAGTCTCGCAGGGGCCCGAGCTCCCATGATTCGTCGAATGAATTGCAGCAACCGAACGCACTTGCTGGACGATCCGTAACAAATAAAAAGAAAACCGCTCTTGGCCCGTGGAGGTAAAGGGATGGACCTCCTCCCCGGGCTGATACTCGCGCGGTCAAGTACTAGGAGGGCGAATAACACTATCGCAGGCACTCACAAGGTTGCGGACCAAACCGCTGCCACGGTCCACCTAGCCGCGCTGCACCTGCAAGCCACTGGGTAGGGCAACCCGCCAAGCACATGTATACTCTAACACACCTTCCACCCTTTGGAGGAGTGTTTTGAGTATGGATGGAAAGTTCCCACTACAAATTGTTGAGGACATTTCGGTCTGAGACTTTATTTCCTCCAATTTCTTTAAGGCGGTTTACGGATAAGTTTTCTGTAGAAGCATATTGCCTTTCCCCACCAAATTGACTGTTGAATTTCATTATTCATTTTCAAGTGAACACTGGAAAAGCAAAGGTGGGAATCAACACCCTTCTTGGGGTGTTAATAAATTTCGTGCCTTTACAAAGGCACTAAAAAATTCGCACCCCTGAAAAGGCACGAAAATGCCCTAAACATACTTAAATTTAGAGCCTTTGGACACTTTCGTGCCTTTGTAAAGGCATTAAAATTTAGCACCTTTAGAAGGCAATAAGTCCTACCTTTGCTTTTTCCAGTGTATCCCACGGGGAAGCAAACACCTGAGAGTAGAACCACCCCTATTCCTGCCGCTGGCTCTGCAATCCGCGCCGCACGCGCGCGCCCACCCAGTCGAGTGCGTCGAGTACCGACCGAGTTCAATGAACGCCTTACGCCTTGCCTCTCCGCGGACCCTGCAGGCGCACTGTCGCGGGGGGTCTCTACCGCGGCGCGGAGCCGAGGCAGAGAGGGAATTCCCCGTCCGCACAGCCACGGCACGCGTGACGTCACATTGGCAGCTATTGCATCACACCCAGTTTAGAGTGTCGTTTTGCCATATAGACCTAGCAGGAGCACCTCGTGCGAGTGGTGTCACTTCGCGTGGAACGAGGTTCTTTTCGAATAAACATCCTCATCGCAACCTGGGCAAGGGTAGTCGGGTCGTTGGTAGACGTGGAGCGGTGAAGTTTGAATCTCATGCATTTCCCCGCGCGCTCGTGCTCCACTTCCTGTCCTAATCTGACGGCACCCCCGGTGCTGTAGTAGCGGGTGTATCTTTGATCTTTGAAAGCTCTCCGATATTTGATACCTGATATGGTCGCAGGGGAGGGGGGGGGCATGGAACCTTGTTGGGAGTGAAGGTAGCGTGCAAACCCGAGCAACACTGGAGCGCCTCCAAAGGTCCATAAGGTGCCTCGAGCAGTACTCACCGTGGCCCTGCATGAGCCCGTGCGTGAGGTACAGCGGCGCGCGCCCCGAGCACGCCTCCCTGGCCAGGGCGGTCCGGACGAGCGCCTCCTCGGCCAGCACCACGGCCGTCACGCCCCCCATGGGCACGGTGAAGATGGGCCCGTAGCGCAGCGCCAGCGCCGCCAGCGTCTCGTGGGGGCGGAGGCGGTCCAGCCAGGGCAGGTAGCCGAGCACGGGCAGCCCCCACGGCCCCGGGGGCAGGTCGCGCGCACGCCGCAGCCACAGCCTCAGCGCCAGCGCCGCCCCCGCCAGCAGCAGCGCCAGCAGCAGCCACATCTGAAACACAAACAGAGAGATCCCGTGACTTCCAGCCCCGTCAATTTAAGATACAGCCCCCAACTCTACTGTTTTCTCTGCAAGAAGATAAACGACATACGAAGAGTTTGGGGGAAGGTTTGTCCGAGATAGGGACCCTAGAAGACCCTAGAAGACCAGCCGGTCGGGTCGGGCGAAGGAGTGGCCTACCTGTCAGGCGCAAGCGTCGAAGCAACAGTGTGACCGGGCAGAAAGGAAAACA